TATTCGGAAATTTATTCCCGCGGCTGTCCCCACGCCAGATTTCTGCGGCGCGGGAATAAATTTCCGAATAAATCGCGGGAGCGGAACTCTAGCACGGAGCTCCATAAACAAACAGCACGCGTCGCGTTTTTAACGTGACTTTGCACGCGATAAGAGAATATAGCCAGTTAACCTGATACAGTACACTCGGTTACAAGTAACAAATCACAACTAAATACATTTGCAAGCTGGAGTCAACGAGGCAACAACTTTAACCGCACGTACTTACACTTGAGAAATGGAAGAAACCCATCCTGACGTCCATCAGTTACTCTTTACTGATCCTTCCTTTAACAAACGCTGATGAAGTATTCTTTGTAGCATGTAGCTTCCAGAAGTTTCCAACTGCTTGGTTATAATGCTGAGGTTTCATCTTTGGGTAGAGACTCAATATAATATCCATCTGCAGTGTGACTTCAATCGACCGGCATGTTTGTGTGTGTGTGTGTGTGTGTGTGTGTTTGTGGGTGTGTGTTTGTGGGTGTGTGTGTGTCTGGGTTTCTGCGTCAGAGGGCGGGGCCTCAGGTTTGAAATCTCCCGGGTTTGCGCGTGCACGTGAATAACTTGGTTTCGTTCGTACGTCATGGCGAAACACCTAATGAGTCGGTATCAAGGCGACTCGTTTGAAGCACTATGAGTCGACTCTTTTATAGATGAATCAACCGTTTTAAACACTGTATTCTTACAGATTTAAGCCTTAGCTGGATACTTCACTTCACTTAGAGCTGTGTTACACACTACATGGAGGGGAATTTTCAAAAACCCATAATATGGGCTCTTTAACTTCTGTGTTTCGCTGAATGCAAAATGAGGGACGTTTTGTCCTTGACAGCAGCGCCAGACACTTCCTCAGATTTGACTGCTCTGAAATGAACGAAATTTTTCTTTGTGATTTTTGGTGATGTTGGATGCAGTAATTGTGAATGTTGGTCATTTTTGATGCATGAATTGTCTTTTCTTTGAGATTATTGATAATATATTATGCTGAGATGGAAATTTTTGTGATTATTGGTGATATTGGATGCAGTAATTGTGATTTGGTGATTTGATGCAGAAATTGTCTTTTCTTTGTGATTATTGGTGATATTTGATGCAGGATTCGTCTTTTTTGTGATTATTGGTGATATTTGATGCAGGATTCGTCTTTTTTGTGATTATTGGTGATATTTGATGCAGGATTCGTCTTTTTTGTGATTATTGGTGATATTTGATGCAGGATTCGTCTTTTTTTGTGATTATTGGTGATGTTTGATGCAGGAATTGTGATTATTGGTGATTTGATGCAGAAAATGTCTTTTCTTTGTGATTATTGTTGATATTTGATGCAGGATTCGTCTTTTTTGTGATTATTGGTGATATTTGATGCAGGATTCGTCTTTTTTGTGATTATTGGTGATATTTGATGCAGGATTCGTCTTTTTTTGTGATTATTGGTGATGTTTGATGCAGGAATTGTGATTATTGGTGATTTGATGCAGAAAATGTCTTTTCTTTGTGATTATTGTTGATATTTGATGCAGGATTCGTCTTTTTTGTGATTATTGGTGATGTTTGATGCAGGAATTGTGATTATTGGTGATTTGATGCAGAAAATGTCTTTTCTTTGTGAATATTGGTCATTTTTTGATGCAGGAATTGACTTTTTGTGATTATTGGTGATATTTGATGCAGTAATTGTAATTATTGGCGGTTTAATGCTGGAATTGTCTTTCCTTTGTGATTATTGGTTATGTTTGATGCAGGAATTGTGAATATTGGTCATTTTTGAAGCAGGAATTGTCTTTTCGTTGTGATTATTGGTGATATGTGATACAGGAATTGTAATTATTGGCAATTTAATGCAGAAATTGTCTTTTTTTGTGAATATTGGTTATGTTTGATGCAGGAATTGTGAATATTGGTCATTTTTGATGCAGGAATTGTCTTTTCTTTGTGATTATTGGTGATATTTGATGCAGGATTCGTCTTTTTTGTGATTATTGGTAATACTTGATGCAGGAATTGATTATTGGTGATTCACTGCAGGAATTGTCTTTCCTTTGTGATTATTGGTGGTATTTGATGCAGGAATTGTCTTTATGTTTTGATTATTGGTGATATTTGATGCAGAAATTGTCTTTCTTTGTGATTATTGGTGATATTTGATGCAGAAATTGTGAATATTGGTGATTTGATGCAGAAATTGTCTTTTTCTTTGCGATTATTGGTGATATGTGATGCAGGAATTGTCTTTTTTGTAATTATTAGTGATATTTGATTGTCTTTGTTTTTGATTATTGGTGATATTTAATGCAGAAATTGTGAATATTGGTGATTTGATGCAGAAATTGTCTTTTCTTTGTGATTATTGGTTATATGTGATATATCTTTTTTGTAATTATTAGTGATATTTGATTGTCTTTGTTTTTGATTATTGGTGATATTTGATGCTGGAATTGTCTTTTGTTTTGTGATTATTGCAGTTTTTTGCGTTTCAAACCTATCGATGTTTCACAAGACAGCTTTTGTAAGTGCTTTTTGGCGTTTTATTCCTGTTTGGTGATTGACACATGAATTGCTGATGATTTGCCTTTAATTCTCCTCTATCTTCTCCTGCAGAAGGATCAGACATGACTAATCAAGGTTCACCTGATTTCAAGTCAAACTGGAGATGGATTTCTTTCCCCCCACCCCACCTAGTTTATTACAAATACATGTATACACAGACTATAATAGAGGTACATAACCGATAAAGAGTATGTACAAATCTCATTTGTCATGTATTTACAGTACTTACAGTGGTTTATAAAGGACATGCACCTTGTAACTGCAATAGTATCATTCTATGAAACCTATTATATTATATTCCAAGATTGTTATAAATAGTAACAGATTATTCAGTGCCTGCTCATGTACGACTAATATTCACATCGTGTGATTCCCTTTATGAATAAGACTATGGAAGCTTATTTCTGGAGTGGAATGAAAACTAAGTGGAATTTATCTTGCAGATTTTTGAATGTGAATTTGCAGTTTTGAAATAATTCAAATTGTAATTGTGAGGCGAAAAAAACAAAAACTAAATTGTGTGAGATAAACTCTGAATTGTTCAATTGGATGAAAACAAAAACTAATAATTCTAGTTCTGAAATTATAATAAGGTCAAAATTGCAATTAAAAAAGTTCCATATTTCAAAAGCTGAACACAAAGCTCCCACTCAGTCCAAAAAAGTCAGAATTGCATCATGTAAACTCAACATTTAGAGAGAAAACAGACGAATTCTGTAAATTAACTGAAAATTCCACCCAAAAAAGTCTCGAATACAAAGTTTTTAAAAAGTCAAAATTGCAAGACCTAACTTAAAATTTAAGACAGAAAATGGAGTAGTTTTATCAGCTAAATGAGAATTCCCCAAAAATGTTACAATTGCAAAGTTCCAAAAAAGTCAAAATTGTAAGACATAAACTCAAAATTGAGAAGGAAAATGTTTAAATTTTGTGATTTATAAAATAAGAATTCCAAAAAAGTAGCTACTTTCGAAATTCAAAAAAAGTCAAATTTGCTAGATGTAGACTTAAAGTATAGATATGTGTAGACTTAAAATATAAATATACCTTTAAGAACAGTAGAATTTTGTAAATTAACTGACAATTCCCCCTCAAAAAATCTAAATTGCAAGATGTAATCTTAGATTTATAGGGAAAACAGCTGAATTTTGCAAATTAAATGAAAATTCTCCAAAAAGAGTTACAATTACACAGTTTATGAGGTAAAAATCGGCAGATCTAAACTTAAAATTTTGAGTGAAAATGGAAGAATTTGGTGAATTAACTAAGAATTCCGCAAAAAAAGTTACAATTACAAAGTTCCAAAAAAGGGGTGTCACAATAGCACAATCCCCTCACAGCATGAAGGTCGCTGGTTCGAGTCCCGGCTGGGTCAGTTGGCAATTTCTGTGTGTAGTTTGCATGTTCTCCTCGTGTTCGTGTGGGTTCCCTCCAGGTGTTTCCCCCACAGTCCAAAGACATGCACTATAGGTGAACTGGTGTTTCCCAGTGATGGGTTGCAGCTGGAAGGACATCCGCTGCTTAAAACATATGCTGGATAAGTTGGTGGTTCATTCCGCTGTGGCGACCGTTGATTAATAAAGGGACTAAGCCGAAAAAGAAAATTAATGAATGCAGTTCTAAAAAAGTTAAAATCGCCAGATGTAAACTTAAATTTTTGCGTGAAAATTGCAGTTTTGTATTATAAACTAAGAATTCCAAAAAAGTAACAACTTCTGGAGGTTAAACACAAAACTCAGAGAAAGATCTCAGAATTGTGTGACACATATGAATGAAACTGCAAGATCTAAACTTAAAATTTAGAGGGAAAATTGCGGAGTTTTGTAAATTAACTGAGAATTCCCCTTAAAAATCAAAATTGCCAGATGTAAACTGAAAATTCAGAGGCAAAATGTCAGAATTTTGTAAAATAACTGAGTCTTTCCAAAAAAGTTACGATTACAAAGTTCCTAAAAAGTCAAAATTGCAAGATGTAACTTTAATTTAGATGGAAAATAGCTGATTTTTGTAATATAAATTAACAATTCCAAAAAAGTTACAATCTCCAGATGTTAAGCTCAAAACTCAGAGTAAGATCTCAGAATTGTGTGATATAAACCAATTATTACTAAATATTGCAGCTTCTGAAATTCCAATACAGTCAAAATTGCAAGATGTAAACTGTAAAGGTCAGAGTTTTGAAATGCAAACTAAGAATTCCCCAAAAAAGTTACAATTTCAAAACTACTAAAGAGACAAAACCGTAAGCTGTAAACTCAAAATGACATGGGAAAAAAGTCAGAATTGAGCTGTAAATAAACCCAAAATTAGGAGCTTAATCTCACAGTAGTAAAAAGAAAAGTCTTAATTGTTAAATATAAACACGTAATTGTAACAAAAAACGTATTTTTTTTAATTCCATATCAGAAACAAGCTTCGATAGAATAAATAACAGTGCTTTAATGAGAACTAGTTCCTGTTTTTGGAAGCCTCGAACTGTCTTTAGTCTGCATCTTCAGACGACAGACATTTCTGTCTTGCTTCGTGATCATCAAACGTCACTTTCTTATTCCGCTTGGGATCGATCCAGGAGTTTCGGATCACTGCGTTGTTCGGCAGTGGATCCGCCTCGCTGATGGACACCACCCGCTTCTTCATTTTGCTTTTCAGCACTTTCTGGAACTTCTGCCTGGTGAATGCGTACAGCAGCGGATGGAAGACTGTAGTGCCGTAGGCCATGACCAGAAATCCCAATCGCAGCTTAACCGTGAGATCGCTGGGGCCTGCGCTGAGGATCACAGTGTTTAAAACGGTAATAGGCGTCCAGCACAGAAGAAACGTGGAGATGATGAGCAACGACATGCGGAAAACTCGCTTTTGTCGCTCACGGCGCTCCCGGTGGCGTTTAACCGCTCTACGAAGAGCAATGATCACGGAAACTGAAGTGCGCATACCTAACGGCGCATTTCCCCGAGTTCCACCACTGCTCTGCGAGGCGTCCGTGATTTCTGGCAATTGCTGCTCAGACGTCGACATTAGCGAAAAATTCTTCTTTCTTCGCAACTTCTTCTTCTTCTTTTGCGTCGCATGGAAGCGCGTTCCAATTCGAATATTGAGCGCCTGAAGTATCTTAGCGTACGTCATTAACATAATCACAGCAGTCAAGCAAAAAATTGGGATTTGAGCCACTAGGTGGTAGTATAAACCAAGCTCTGTGTAATATTCGTTAACATGCACGACGGCGGTTTGATTGGCTAGCGTGGGCTCCGGTCCCAAAAATCCCACTTCGATAAACGGCACCAAGAAGCTAACAAAAGACAGCACCCAAATGCATCCCAACAAAGCCACCGCTCGGCCCATAGTCAGTACGCGATTGGCCGGCTTAACGGATATGTCGTATCGGTCTAAAGTGATAGCTAGCACGTTAGCCGCCGTAGCCACGCTAGCAAATGACACGCAGGCCTCATGGAAGCAGCAAACAAGCACCGTGTCGCCTTGTAAGGAAAGCATCAACACTACGATGGTTAAAGGGATACAGCAAACGCACACCAGCACGTCCAGCACATGGAGGTTCATCGTGACTATGTTGCTGACCGAATTGACCAAGTTGGACTTCATGCAGTAGAGCGCTAGCACGGTCAGGTTGCTGCTCAGTCCCAGGACAATCTCCAGCATCAGGAATCCGGTCAGAGACACCTGGAAGCTGAGCGGGTACGGGTACGGGCCACCGGCCGCCGTCATGACGGGACTCACGGACTCTGTGATGTCGAGGACGGTAACGTTACTCATGGTGCTTTCTTCCTCCGCGGCGGGAGGGACGTGCATTATCCTGAAAGGTAAACACATGAACAGTCAGGAAAAGCATGTAGGATGATCTTGTACAATAACTGTGCATCAATGGAAACTTTTGTAATAGTGGTAGAATTCTGCACTGGTGTAACGGAGGCCAGCTAGTGTGTGCTGTGCAGGTAAACCTCACTCCTCTGACCTCTAAAAGTGCTCTAGCGACAGACGCTAGAGGCCATGGTCTTAAGCCTCCTTGTTAGAGCAACCTACTCCCATGCGGAAGGTCGCCGGTTCGATACCAGCTCGGAGTGGGTTGGGTGGTGTAGGACCAGTGGGTTACATTGGTGCCGTGACCCGGATGGGAGTGAGGTTTAGGGGGATGAGTGTAACCGAGGCCAGCTAGTAGGTGCTGTGCAGGTAAACCTCACTCCTCTGACCTCTAAAGGTGCTCTAGCGACAGACGCTAGAGGCCATGGACTTTAGCCTCCTTGTTAGAGCAACCGACTCCCATGAGGAAGGACAATTTTTGCCAGTGTAACCTCGCCGGTCCAACACCACCCAACTCGCTCTGAGCTGGGATCGAACCGGCGAGGTTACACTGGCAAAAATTGGTCTTTATTGGTCGCGTGATATTACAATAATGAATTTTTATTTTCAGTATTCTTTTTAAGGATATCTATAAGCTAGTGCTCCAAAATTTGCAATTTTAGAAAATATAAAACTGATATCAACATCTAAACTTTGCAGTTTATCAATTCCGCCTAAATGGGTCAAAGATTCATTTTGACGTCACCTCATAGTTCAGTTTCTTATCAACTGTTCTGACCAATCAAACGCTCTCTAGTATCTGACATGCTCCACCCCCTTCTTCTCATTTGCTTGATCTCAACCACTCTCACTGGCAAAGCTGTGATAAAAACTAAAAGGGGAGGAGCTACTCTGTCCTGCCCTCTTCATTTTTTAGTTGAGGTTACGTTAAACATTAAATAAAAACGCCTCAATTCAAAGGACTTCACGGGACCTTTAAAAAAAAGCTCATCACAAAACTTGTCCACAGGCAAAGAAGCAGTAATACACTGAAGGCTATCAGTGTCATTCACACAACTGCTAAACACCATCATGCTAAAACTCTGTAACCTGGAAAAATCAGTAACCCGGTTAAAAGTAAGTTTTCCTACTATACACTACCTGACAAAAGTATTGTCGCCTGTCCAAATTTTAGGAAAAACATAACTCTACTTCTAGTTGATCATTTTTACAGTTAAAGTCAGAATTATTCGCCCTCCTTTGATTTTTTTTTTTTCTTTTTTTAAATATTTCCTAAATTATGTTGAACAGAGCAAAGAAATGTTCACAGTATGTCTGATAATATTTTTTCTTCTGGAGAAAGTCTTATTTGATTTATTTTGACAGGAATAAAAGCTGTTTTTAATTTTTTAATAGCATTTTAAGGTCAATATTATTAGCCTCTTTAAGCTATATATTTTCAATAGTCTACAGAACAAACCATCATTATACAATAACTTGCCTAATTACCCTAACCTGCCTAATTAACCTAATTAACTCGATTAAGCCTTTAAATGTCACTTTAAGCTGTATAGAAGTGTCTTGAAGAATATCTAGTCTAATATTATTTACTGTCATCATGACAAAGATAAAATAAATCAGTTATTAGAGATGAGTTGTTAAAAGTATGATTAGAAAAGCGTTGAAAAAAATCTGCTCTCCGTTAAACAGAAATGGGGGGGAAAAATAAACAGGGGGCGAACAATTCTGACTAAAACTGTGACTATAGAATACTAAATTTTAGATGTTAGTTTAAGGCTGTAGGTTTTAAGGATATCTATAAGCCAGTGTGCTCCAAAATTAGCTTTATTAACTGATATAAACATCCAAAGCTTGTCACGACTAAATGGTTTTGGGGTTGTTTGCCGTCACCTCATACTTTAGTTAATATATTTAGGCATATTTTACAATTTCTACCATATTTTTAATGGTAAAATTGTGGCAACAGCAGCTGCAGATTTTTACATTAACTTTTTTTTTTTTTTTACAGTGTAGTAATAAAATTCTAGTTTCAAATCATATTCTGAACCAAAAGTACAACGTTTATAAAGGCCAACATAAATAACATGCTGATATTAAAAACACAGTATGTTACTGTGGTCCATAAACAGGTAAATCTTTGGAAATTAAGATTTTTACATTGTTAAAAGCTGAATAAATAGGATTTAAAATAAGATGAACTAGTTTTTATAATTAGGAAAGGACAAAATTTGGCCAGGGTGTCACGGTGGTGTAGTGGGTAGCAAAATCGCCTCACAGCAAGAAGGTCACTGGTTCAAGCCCAGTGTGGAGTTTGCATGTTCTCCCTGTGTAGGCGTGGGTTTCCGGGTGCTTCGGTTTCCCCCACAGTCCAAACACATGTGCTGCAGGGGAATTGGATAAACTAAATTGTGTGTAGTGTCCACAGTCCAATGACATGCGGTAGAGGTGAATTGAATAAGCTAAGTTAGCCGTGGTGTATCTGAGTGTGTGCAAGAGTGTTGGTTTGTGGCTGGAATGGCATCTCCTCCGTGAAACATGTGCTGGATAAGTTGGCGGTTCATTCCGCTGTGGTGACCCCTGATTAATAAAGAGACTAAGCTGACAAGAAAATAATTGAATGAATGTTTGGCTAAGCTACAACTATTTGAAAATCTAAGGGTTCTGAGAAATTCATCTTCAAAGTTGTCTATACAGTGCTTCCTTCAGCCTAGTCCCTTATTTATCAGGGCTCGCCACAGCAGAATGAACCGCCAATTATTGCGGCATATGTTTTACGCAGCGGATGCCCTTCCAGCTGCAACCCAGTACTGGGAAAGCAATGCAAATTACTAATCAAAATTAAGTTTTAATATATTAATGATAGGAAATTGACAAAATATCCCCATGGAACATGATCTTAATCTTATAATGATGTTTGGCATAAAAGAAAAATCTGCAATGTATTATCGACTATTCCCACAAATATACCCATGCAACAGAAGACACTTCAAAATACAGTGAATAATTATTAATAATTGTTGGAATTTATTACTGCACCAAATATTGGACTTAATAGTGTATTTATTTTCAGATTTTTCATTATTCATTATTTCACATTATTCTGCCCTACGGCATGCGGGAGATTCATTCATTCATTTTCTTGTCGGCTTAGTCCCTTTATTATTCCGGGGTTGCCACAGCGGAATGAACCGCCAACTTATCCAGCAAGTTTTTACGCAGCGGATGCCCTTCCGGCCGCAACCCATCACTGGGAAACATCCACACACACATTCACACACACACTCATACACTACGGACAATTTTAGCTTACCCAATTCACCTGTACCGCATGTCTTTGGACTGGGGGGGAAACCGGAGCACCCGGAGGAAACCCACACGAACGCAGGGAGAACATGCAAACTCCACACAGAAACGCCAACTGAGCTGAGGTTCAAACCAGCGACCTTCTTGCTGTGAGGCAACAGCCCTACCTACTGCGCCACTTCTTTGCCGCATGCAGGAGATATTGATTGAAGATCATTAACACTGTTCAATGAGGCTCCATTTGTTAACACTACTTAATTTAACTACACTACACTACTACACTAATTAAACTCAATAAAAACAAAACAAAAACATTTATTGATCTTAGATTATGATGATTTGCTTAATAACTCATAAAATAGTTTGTAATTGTTGTATTGAATGTTCATTTATTCAGGGTCGCCACAGCGAAGTGAACCGCCAAACTTATCCAGCATATGTTTTACACTACAGATGCCCTTCCAGCCGCAACCCATCACTGTGAAACATACATACACACTCATTCACACACATACACTATGGACAAATTAGCCTACTTAATTCACCCACAGCGCATGTCTGCACTGGTGGGGAAAACCGGAGCACCCGGAGGAAACCAACACAGGGAGAACATGCAAACTCCACACTGAAATGCCAACTGACGCAGCCGAGACTCGAACCGGCGACCTTCCTGATGTGAGGTGATCGTGCTACCCACTGCGCCACCGTCACTAATTATGTTTAATTCTGACAGTTGATTTTAGTGCATTTAAATGTTTACTCTGAGCATTTCTATACATGATTAATGAAAATATACAATAAATACACACTGTTTTTTAATGATCAGATCTCATCAAGTAAGCTTTTTTAGCAGCTTTGGTCAATATATACTGAATATGTGATAAAAACTTAAGCAATTAGCGCAATGAAAATCTGATAGCGTCATAAGACCTGTTCCTGGAGGCGCACCAACAGAACATATTTTGCATGTCTCCCTTATCTGAACCATTCATTTCAGGTTTTGGAGTCTCTGACAGCATTCTGATGAGTTGATTCAGGTGTGTTTGATAAGGGAGAGGTGGAAAATGTGGGCTACTGGTGTGTCTTCAGGAACAGGGTTGGGAAACACTGGACTAGGCCAACAATGGAAAGAACTTTCTCTTAAAGAACAAAAAATTTGGGCAGTGCAGTTGGTAGTGTTGTCGCCTCACAGCAAGAAGGTCGCTGGTTCGAGCCTCGGCTGGGTCAGTTGGCGTTTCTGTGTGGAGTTTGCATGTTCTCCCTGCGTTCGTGTGGGTTTCCTCCGGGTGCTCCGGTTTCCCCAGCAGTCCAAAGACATGCGGTACAGGTGAATTGGGTAGGCTTAATTGTCCGTAGTGTATGTGTGTGTGAAGATGTTTCCCAGAGATAGGTTGCAGCTGGAAGAGCATCCGCTGCGTAAAAACGTGCTGGATAAGTTGGTGGTTCATTTCGCTGTGGCGACCCCGGATTAATAAAGGGACTAAGCCAAAGGGAAAATGAATGAATGAATGAATGAATAAATTATAATAAAATATTAGATATGTTAAACAAAACAAAGTATTAAAGGCACAGTATGTCATTTTCGCCACTAGAGGGACTTTATTCATAATAAACAAAGGCGTAGTTTGATGACGCAGTTACAGAAATTATGTTGATGGATGAGCTAAACTGTTTAATACTTAATAATCATGGTAGTATGAAGCAGCGTAAGGCTAAAAGCTACCAACAGCCACAGCCATATCACCCTGCAGTTACTCACTGAAGCAAAGCACGGCTGAGCCTGACCAGTACCTGGATGCGAGACCACATGGGAAAACTAGGTTGCTGGTGGAAGTGGTGTCAGCAGGGGGCGCTCAACCTGCGGTCTGTGTGAGTCACCAGTAAAAACGAAGGGGACACTATACTGTCAGTGAGTGCCGTCTGTCAGATGAGACAGTAAACCCTGACGCTTTGTGGTCATTAAAAATCCCATGGCACTTTTCGTAAAGAGTAGGGGTGTAACCCCCTGTCTCCTGGGCAAATTATCCTCCATTGGCCTGTACCAATCATGGCCACCCAATCTTCCCCATCCACCAAATTGGCTCTATCACTGTCTCTCCACCTATAGCTGGTGTGTGGTGAACACACTAGCGCCGTTGTCCTGTGGCTGCCATCGCATCATCCAAGTGGATGCTGCACACTGGTGATGGTGAGGAGAGACCCCCCTCACGATTGTGAAGTGCTTTGGGTGTAAGGCCATACACAATAAATGCGCTATATAAATACACATTACATTGCATTACTATTAGTAAATGCTACAGAGTGAGGTTAAAAGCTAATATACCATTTAATACTACTCTTCAGCTTATGATCACCTGAGTTTTTTTCTTTAATCAGACTTTTTTAGGCAAATGTTATACCGCTGCTCTGTGCAGTCTAATAAAACACACAACATATTAAAGCCTCGCTGCTGTTTCCTTGTTTTCTAGTAAACCAATCCGGATATCAAGCTTGTGTGATCTCATCAGCATAAATACACAGCGCATGCTCCGTCTCACAGGTAAGAATCTCCTTATTTTTTGGATTTGAACATTCCTTGCAAAATTTGGAGGAGTGTACATGAGTAAGCAAAAAATAAAACAACTTTCTAGTGTTTTTTGAATATTTTAATGAAATTTTCGTACATATTGTGCCTTTAAAGGTTTGTCTATTAGATAGAAAATATTTTTCTAAATTAAAAAAAAATTTGATGTGTGGAATTTATCATGAGGCATGTTGGGTTGTGCTTTTACTTTTTTCTATTGCATCGTCTACAGTATGTGATATGTTTGTATTAAGTTTGTTGTATGATATACACTCACCGGCCACTTTATTAGGTACTCATTATCACAAATTTCTAATCGGTCAATCAGATGGCAGCAACTTAATGCTTTTAGGCATGTAGACATGGTCAAGACGACCTGCTGCAGTTCAAACCGAGCATCAGAATGGGGAAGAAAGAGGATTTAAGTTTGAGTGTGGCATGGTTGTTGGTGCCAGACGGGCTTTTCTGAGTATTTCAGAAACTGCTGATCTACTGGGATTTTCACGCACAACCATATCTAGGGTCTGAAAAAGAGAAAATATCCAGTGAGCGGCAGTTCTGTGGGTGCAAATGCCTTGTCGATGCCAGAGGTCAGAGGAGAATGGCCAGACTGGCTCCAGCTGATAGAAAGGCAACAGTAACTCAAATAAGCACTCGTTACAACCGAGGTCTGCAGAAGAGCATCTCTGAACACACAACACGTCCAACCTTGAGGCAGATGGGCTACAGCAGCAGAAGACCACACCGGGTGCCGCTCCTGTCAGCTAAGAACAGGAAACTGAGGCTACAATTCACACAGACACACCAAAACTGGACACTAGAAGACTGAAGAAACGTTGCCTGCTCTGATGAGTCTCCATTTCTGCTGCCACATTTGTATGAGGGGTCAGAATTAGTCAACAACATGAAAGCATGGATCCATCGAGCCTTGTATTAACAGTTCAGGCTGGTGGTGGTGGTGTAATTGTCTGTAGTGTTTTCTTAGCACACTTTGGGTTCATTAGTACAAATTGGGCATGGGGTCAAAGCCACAGCCTACCTGAGTACTGTTGCTGACCATGTCCATCCCTTAATGCCCACAGTGTACACATCTTCTGATGGCTACTCCAGCAAGATGATGTGCATTGTCATAAAGCGAGAATCATCTCAGACTGGTTTCTTGAACATGACAATGAGTTTACTGTACTCAAATGGCCTCCACAATCACCAGATCTCAATCCAATAGAGCACCTTTGGGATGTGGTGGAATGGGAGATTGGCATCATGAATGTGCAGCCGACAAATCACGTCAGTATGGAGCAAAATCTCAGGAATATTTCCAGTAGCTTGTTGAATCTACGCCACGAAGGATTAAGGCAGTTCTGAAGGCAAAAAAGGGTCCAAGTCGATACAAGTAAGGTGTACCTAATAATGTGGCCGGTGTGAATGTATGTTGCATTAACAAAGTTGTTCATCTTACAGAATAGATTAGACAATATATATGTCATTCGGATTCATCCTAAACTGTTTTGATTGCTGTAAATCCCTGTTTGTCACTAGTGGTTCACAAGGGTAACAGCTAATAAAGTCGTCAGCCACATCATGTTATATATTTCAATAAATCTATTGGGGGTCTCAAACAAAACCATCAGATTAAGAGATGTTTTTTTCCTTGCACTAAATCAAAGACTAGGCCAGAATCAGTGGGAGATTCCTGCTGGATGTGAACGCCTGCGAAGCCTGCTGTGTTCATTCATTTGATATTGCTTCCATCGCTTTATGATTATGTTTTGCTGAGATTTTCGACTCTGGTCTGTGCAGAAATTGCACAAAACGCCTGCAGATTCCCTCTGGGGGCTGCTAATGGCTTTATGTCTGACGTTCCCCTATGCACGTTGACTAATAATAATGCATTGGTCATGCACTGGCCATTCTGCACTGGGTGCTGCTATGAATAGACACACTTTGGACATTATTCCTGTCCATAATGCGTTTGTTGCACAGTGATGGATCGCTCTATTTGCATATGTGACGATCTTTAGTGCTGCCTTTCATTCATCACCTTGAGGGAGAGTATTTAGAGCCTTGCTTTTGTAATTTAGTCCAGTGTATGCAGATTGAGCTGCCAATTGTGTGCTAATAACTCTTTGTGTTTTGATACGATCTTTGAGTGAAACCATATGGAGACTCCTCGAATGTCTTCAGGAGGTAAAACACAACACGTCGTACATTATTAAGTCGACTAAATGTCTGATTGGTTTATTTAACGCAGTTGTTGACTTACCCTTCCCCTTCCAGCTTCTTTTCTCAGCCTCGGGAGTCAGCGATCAAGACGGAAAGGTCTGGAAGGGGTACAACTTGTACATCAGCCGCAGGCATGGCCTTTCAAGGAAGTTTTCAGCACTCCTCGTAATCCGACGCGTTGGGATTTCTTTGATTGTCACTAAAGCGAACGATGCATTCGCTCCCCAGCCATGACCAACAGAAAGTGGACGATCTTGGTGAATGACAAACAATCCATTTCCTTTTCTAATCTAGCCTGACACCTGATTAGTTGCTCATTACATCCACATCGAGTTGCTTTCGTGCAAAGAAAATTCCTTCAGTGCTGATGTACTCCCGTCAGTGCGGTTTTATAACCCCTGGAAGGTGATAAATCCATATTGATTTGCATTTGCTGATTTGCATGTGCCATCTGCCGAGGAATCCAAGGTCAGTGAATTGTTGAGGTGTTAGTCTATGATGCAATTTCCTGTCCTCTCAAAGAAGGTCACCTTTAGGCTGCGTCATCATGGATCGAACCGCTCTGCATCGGTGGTGTTTTCAACTTGGGAAGTTCACACACTCAACGCAGGTCTTCCTGAGAAATGCACGACACTTTGGAAGCAGCTTTCTCCAGCTCTGCAAGAAGAAAAGCAAAGGAGTATTGATTAGTGCATCTATCTTTCATTAAACCTGCGTCCAATCTATCATCACGACTTCCATGTGCAAAGCATTCTAAGGAAATGCTGTGGACGTCCATGCGAAGGGTGCACATCTGCGAAACCGCAGGGGGTTGACGGATGACCTCGTGCATCTCGGGAACAATGTGCAAACACTTTTCATTTCCAAAGCAATGCCTTTTAGGGAAGCACCTGTGTTGTTTTATGCCTGCACTTTCTCACATCATGTTTCAGTCAACGGCCGTGCGAGGATATCACGTGTGACGACGTGGAGATTGTACACACACAGCGTTGTTCACAGATGTTACAGTCCTGCAGACAAATTGAAGATGGAGGGGGGGGGGGGGGTACTGTAAGGATCGATTAGATTTTGGAGGCGATATTTGTCAGCGGAGACGTGGATCGATAGACTAACTAAAGTAAGAATGCTGTTCACAGGCAGCAGCAGGTTAATAACACAACACAGAACACAGACATCGCATTCATAGAGTCGTCAACAAATGTTTCAAACCTAATTATTTGGCTTTGATTTGATCCGAGTAGGTCAAATCCGCTCTAACGATGTATCTGCGATACTAAGTTTCCACATCTGCTGGATTGTCATGCTTTCACATGCAGAGCTATCGCATTTAAAGTTTTAAATACCTTCTGCTTACCTTTCTCATCTCTGATCAACGTGCATCGTTTAGCGCTTCACCAGAGCATCGTCCTCTTCGTCTGAGATCCACAAGTGCACACACTTTTGCATGTCAGTGCGTCTTAAACCCGATTCCCTCCTGGGAGGCATGAATCAAACGGTGTCGGTGTGAACTGTCGGCCGGACTTGATCTGCTGTCTTGCTTTTTTCTGCTCTTGCTGTCTTCAAACTGTGATGTGTTGAAGTGCTGCCGATGCTCCCCTCTGTTGCGCCTCCTCATCCTTGCTCTCTCTCGTCCGCTCCTCTATCTTCGTCTCCCTCTCTCTCTCACTGCGGCGGTTTTGCAGTGTTGCTCCGCGCTCCGATTGGTCTGGCGTAATGGGGTTAACCCTTTCCTCCCCCGGAGAGCGGCGATGCGCTCTCTTCCTTTTGTTTTCTTGTCATCCAGCTTTTCCCTCCATCCTGCGATCTGCGTCTGTCAGTCCCTGCGGAGATGCTTCTGGGTTCTATTTGAACACCGTGTCGGAGTTGCGTGTTTTCATTCATATTTGATGCAGTGCTCTGTGAGGAAAATGGATATGTGTCTACTGGGAAAAGGGACGGAAAAAGCTTCCAAACCTGTGTACAGGCAGGGTTTTGTGGCTTGCAGGCAGTTTTGGAAGACTGTTGATGCATCCATTTGGCTGTTATTTGAAACTGCACCACATGCAACTTAAAAATCACATGCATCACTCATTGAATGCATTGCAATGATCTTTATAGGGGGGAATTTTTGCATGCACCAAATGTCATCTAGGCAGAGGTGTAAAGACTACCTGAAAACCATACTTGAGTAAAAGTACAGATACCTTTCTGTAGAAATGACTCCATTACAAGTCACCAATTTCAATAAGACTTGAGTAAAAGTATTAAAGTATCTGATTTTAAAACTACTTAAGTATTTTACTCATACTGAATGTAGGTTGAAAGAACACCAATAAAGGTTTTATTTCCTAATATAGAAATTAAATTTAACACCTCAGTGTTTCAAAATGGCTGAGCAAAATAGATTAAAAAATAGAACAAAAAGTCTCAGTCGAACTCAAATGTCCAAAAAAGGCACAAACAATTTTTCATTAAAGGGTCACGAAACACCTAAACACATGTTTTGAGCAGTTGACAGTCGTATTTGTGTCCCACACTGCTAAAAACACTATTAGGACACCTATACTTCACTAAAAAGTGTAAATTGGTTGTTTTTGCGTTATTTTAAGCAAATTTGTACTTCCGGTTTGAAACGAATTTTTGAAGCTGCGTCACGGTCATGACATAATAGCGTGTATTCCAGCGTGCAGACTGGACGTCTGTGCCAGAGTGAGTCTTATTACGTCTTACAGCCTGCTGCATTAATGCATGAGTAAAGCTTGGTTTAAACCAATCAGCGCGCTCTATTGTGCAACTTCATTAATATTCATTACTGTCACAGTGTTTAGACGACAGAGACGCCACGTTGTGTTGGCGAAACAAGCGTGAAGTGTTGCTTTTATAGTTTGCTGCAGTTAAGTTTTGTGTTCATTTTCTCTCTGTGAGAGCTCAGCTGGAGTCACGTGTGGATTAACAGTGTACGCGACGCTCGACAACAATAACTTACGTGTCTAAGGAGGATTAATGTTTACCTGAGAGCTGTTCTCATCTGCAAGCGCTGAGATCCGGATTCGCTTGTAGTCTCCTCTTAATAAAGACGCGGCTCTAGTTGCTGGTGATTGTCCTGTCTCTACAGATTTGGTAAGTGAGCGACCAGTGCTCTTTGTTTATTCAGTTTGTTCGTATCGTATCGAACAAACTATTGCACCGAGTGTAAACATGTTAGCACCACAACCAAACTTTAACCTTGTGTAGGGTTTTTACCGCATTTAGTGACCGGAATAACACACGCGGCTTTCTGACGCTACCTGCCGTGTGCATCTAAGTTTCCAGGAAATGCTGAGTTTTTTTTTTCTCTCATTCGCCGTGCGGTATCAAACATTGCATGAAAAATACACGCTTAGAGCAGCTCCTCGAATCAAGTATTTCGTTTGTCGCGAGGGACATGACTGAATTCTCTGAATGAAAGACAGTTAAAGTCCACCATTTAATAATTTGGCAAATAATTCGACTACAGATGCCCATGTAAACATAGTCGCGTGCCCAAATAAACACTCCCACACCGTGCCTCTTTAGTTCCTCCGACACTCCCCCCTAAACAAAGCTGGACACGCCCACTTTTCTGGCTTTTTCCAAAGTAGAGGTGTGAAAACACCCTGCTGAAACGAGGGGGTTTCATGGCCCTTTAAAAAAAAAGTAGTAAAACGTAGTAAAATAAAGTTCAGAGCTGACTTTGATGTAATAAATAGAATTTAATTCTGGTAATGTTACATGTGGTTTCTGAAATCTTAATAAAATATCAATGTTATTGTAGTTATTTGAATTTAATATTTTTAAAATAAGATTTTCTAATTTTTCTCAGAAACTCACCTCTCAGTCTCAGAGGCATGGGACAATTACCGTTTTCAAGGTATACTGTTGTTTGGAAAAGTCAAGGTTTTAAAACGTCGACATTTTCTGTAATACTGTTTTCTGCCAAACTGTAAGGTATGTGTAGGATTTTTTATTTACGTTTTTTTTTTTAGTACAACAATATCTCAGCAGAAAAGATGCTGTTTTAAATTCAATTTAAAGTAAATGAAGACCGCAGAGGTCAATAATGAATTTAGCCTGACACGTTTACTGCTCCAAAATATTTTAAATGTTTCTCAAAATAAAATATAATGTGTTTAAAAGGGATTTTTATTTTTATTTTTACAGAGACATTTAAAAAGAACACATTTTAGAGCATTAATCACTATACTGTGACTAAATTCACATTAGACTCTTACCTCAATGTGTTTTCTCACATTTGAGGATGAATCCTTAAAAGCACTTATTTTCATGGTTTGTGGCAAACAAAGTGTGCAACCTGCACACTGCATAAAGATACCGACCTGTTGTGCACAATCACAATGTAATGAGTAATGATAAGTGTCCGTTCAAATGTAGTGGAGTAAAGAGTACATATATTCAATCAAAAATGTTGTCAAGTAGAGAGTAAAAATTGCTTATATTTTTGATACTCAGTACAAGTACAAAGTAGCCAAAACAATACTTAAGTACAGTAACGAAGTCCATTTACTCAAGTACTTTACACCACTGCATATAGGCTATTTTATGTGGGGGAGAGCAGGGCACCAATAAACACTTTTTGATTTTGGTCAAATAATTAAAGTAATGGGGTTACACAAACCAGTTTTTTTTTACCAATAACACACAAGCCTTTCCTACAAATGAGCACTGAAAGTATGACCGCCGGATCTAGGGTTTCTGTGCAGCATTGCTAAAAGTGCCAGGAGTAAAAATGTTTTACCCCACCTGCGGGGCAAGTTGTAACAGACAGAGTGTTGGATGTAAGACATGCTTATAAAGGCAGATTTCACACAATTAATTTAATCTCGGTTTACTTTAAATAGTAGCTATATTTCCTCAGTAATTGGCTCATTTCTTTTTTTATTCTACATAGCACAGTATGTTAAACACATTTAAATCTATTTGCATAATATACAATGCATTTATTTGCATTATTAGCAATAGAATTCCCTTTTTTCTGTTAAAACTATATTTTCTAATAAAGAGATTTTTTTTATTTAAAAAGTTCTCATCATTACACTCAATTTTAATAATTATTTTGTTTGTTTAATTGGTGTCCAACAGTGTGTGGCTTAATTGGAACACCCTGTTACAACCAACCCCGCTGTGTCGTGTTTTCCTTAAAACTGCGTAGCAGTCACAGTGTGTGTTTTACATCTTTCAAAATGGTTTCATCTTTTAGCCTAGTAGACAGCAATATCAGATTTCACATACATTCATAGATTTTTTTTTTAAATAAAAAAAAATCGACTACAATAAAAGCTACTTTTTTGCTGCAAAAATGGTTTCTCCTGTGTTTCTCATCCAAATTTCAGGGAAACTTTCCAATAAATGGCAGGAAGATGTCTGCCGACACTATGATAAAACCTTGTAAGCATGCCATGGTTAACGCTGAGCAAATACCTTAAAAATCTGTGTTACATTTAAGCCCTCGTTACTTTGTGCCCCACACTGTGTGCAAATTTATATATGCACACTCAAACACACATGCCTACTCATTAGCCGCTTAATTAAACTCTATGAAAGGCTAGGTAGTTATAACCCAACGTTAGCGTATAGCTTAAACCAATGTTGGGTTAATTACATTGTTATTTGAAAAATTATTTTAACTTTTGATTTTCGATCCCTATATTTCAGACGATTTGAATGTTATCACTTGATTGAATGGGCGTTATCAGCTGATAGATATGGGCCAATAAGGGCCTTCTGCGCCTACTGGTAGGCTTAGAAGGCTGTTATCATCCATCCACATGGTTAATCGGCTATAGCTCACATACGGCTGTGGCCGGAAGTTAATGAGAATTATCTATATTATTTATTAAATTTCCCAATAGTTGTATTTTATCAACATCTACCCCAACCCTAAACCCAACTGTCAATCATTCATTTTCTTTTCGGCTTAGTCTCTTTATTAATCAGGAGTCGCCACAGTGAAATGAACCGCCAACCTATCCAGCATATGTTTTAGGAAACACACACACACTATGGCCAATTTAGTTAATCAATTTCCCTATAGCGCATGGCTTTGGACTTGTGGGGGAAACACCCGGAGGAACCTCATGCTAACATGGGGAGAACATGCAAACTCCACACAGAAATGCCAACTGACCCAGCCGAGGCTTGAACCAGCGACCTTCTTGCTGTGAGGCAACATCGCTACCCATTACGCCCCCTTTCATTAATATTTCATTTAATTTTATGCATTTGGCAGCTTCTGATTTTAGAGAAATGAAAATGAATGAATGAATTACACATTAGCTGTATGCCATTCCAGATTAGGTGATTGGAAAGAGCTTGAAATATACCCTCAATTCTGGAATGAGTGCTATATAGAGAGACAGGACAGAGCAATAACCAATATATACCAAATTTGTACGCATCCATAATTCAATATTCGCCCAATTTCACTCAATATCAATTGTAATTGTCTCATATTGAGTGCTATTTGTGTGAGAACACTTGCTCTCAATCACAGATTGTTCATTTACTGCCTTCTATTTGTAGCCCACTGTGTAGGCAGTAGGCAGCGCACTAGGATTTAGAACGGAGCATGTGTGTTTGATTTGGATGATGGGAACACTTAGTGTGCGCGTGTGTAATGTGCAGAGGAATCGTGATTGATAGTTTCAATTAGGCCGGCCTGTCAGCTGGCAGAAGGAGCAGTCTTTCTCAATTCATTCTGTTTGGCTCATTTGGCAGGTCTAGATAGACATATACGCAACAAGAATATATGTGTGTGTGTGTTCATATATGAAGCACATGTATTTCTCCACACGCGGGAATGGAGTGCACATGTTGTATTATTAAGTGATAAACAACTTTCTCCAGGCTCGGCGGCGGCTGAAAACTTTTCACTAAAGACAGACTCGGTATTTCAGCTGGCATTAATATTTCAGCATGCTTTCCCAGCAGCCTTCCAACACTGCAGACTAATATTCTGTTATTCCTTGCTGCTCTTTCTGTGATGATTGTTGGAGGAAAAGGAGGCTACGATGTTGTGTGTGCGCGTTGAATTAAAACATGCATTGTAGATTATTATATGCTATATATGTCAATCAAAATAGTACAGAATCATCTACAATCTATGTTTTAAGACAAAACTATTAGGCCTCCTTATATTTTTAGGCAAGGCAAGTTAATTAATATAGCATATTTCATACACAATAGTAATTCAAAGTGCTTTCTCTGCTGAAAAATCCAGCTTAAACCAGCCTAGGCTGGTTTGCTGGTTTTAACTGGTCAACCAGCCTGGTTTTAGAGGGGTTTTGGCCATTTCCAGGCTGGTTTCCAGTCATTTTCAGCCTGGTCTTAGCTGGTCAGGCTGGGAGATGACCAGCTAAAACCAGCTTGACCAGCCTAGCCAAGCTGGTAATCCAGCCAAAACCAGCTATGTCCAGCTTAAACCAGTTTTAGCTAGATTTGGCTGGTCATTTTCCAGCCTGACCAGCTAAGACCAGGCTGGAAATGGCTGGAAACCAGTCTGGAAATGGCCAAAACCCCTCTAAAACCAGCCTGGTCGACCAGCTAAAACCAGCCAACCAGCTAGTTTAAGCTGGATTTTTCAGCAGGGTAACCAGAGATAAAAGAAACAAGTATAGGAAAATCAAAATAAATAATAAAAGTGATTAAAAACAGATTCAAATGTGCTAAAACCGGTTATAATAGCATGAAAAATTCTAATAAATAGCCTAATATTTATCGCTAACTGTCGGACGCAGCTGTATCCCTTCTAGCAACAACGGCTAGTGTCCTCCAACTTCGTCGTGTTTTTCTATGGATTTTACCTCAGTGATCTGCTGTGGTCAAAGAGACCGAGTCAGCTGAGTTTGAGTTGCACTTTTCTGGAGTGGCAGACGGACATTTGGGAATTCTAGCACTCAAAAGCGGCTTCGATCCGTCCGCTATCGCTCTGGGAGCCGAACTGCAGAAACACCATTGGACTTGTGAGTTTGGCTTTTCTCGGCCTGGTCGTTTTGCTATGCCAAAAAAATCAGCTCGAGGAAGGCAGGCAGAGATCTCAGCAGAGGCTCTTTTATCTCCGTCCTGCAGTGCCAGTCGTGTGCTTTGAGCTGTGAGTCTCAGTAGATTAGCTCGACGCTAATAGAGTCGCGCGCTTTTGTGTTTCTGAAGTGTTTTAATCAGCCGCCGCTTAATAATACGCACTAAATCGGAACAGTTCCTCAACTGGAACATTACTGAGAATGGGAGAGAACACGAGGACTAAATGTTTCGGATTTCTAAGTGAATAGGGCGTTTTAAAAGGGAATATATTAAGCACACCTTTACAACAAGTGTCCAAGTTAAAAATACTATAGTGAATTCTAGATTATTTTCAGTGCAAAGTGCTTGGATCAATCTATTAAACAACAACTAATCCAAACAACTGACCAAATACTCTAGTTAAGTATATTACAGTCAATGCTTCAGCAATTGTGTATGATTTAGTGGCTAATTTGTATAAATTTGTAATCTTATTTGTTATACAATTTGCTCAAATCTCAATGACGGTTGAGTTTAGGGGAAAGACTTGGTGTCAAACCTATTGACAATAGTAAAAAAAAAAAAAACTTAAGTATACTACAGTATTAATTACAGTTTATCAGTTTAAGATAGTTAAATCAACAGTATGTTGTGGCATTCATTACAAAGTGTTGTAAGTATAATTTCTCCCTGCTGAAAAATCCAGCTTTAACCAGCCTAGGCTGGTTGGCTGATTGACCAGGCTGGTTTTAGAGGGGTTTTGGCCATTTCCAGGCTGGTTTCCAGCCATTTCCAGCCTGGTCTTAGCTGGTCAGGCTGGAAAATGACCAGATAAATCCAGCTAAAACCAGCTTGACCAGCCTGGTTTAAGCTGGACATAGCTGGTTTTGGCTGGGCTTCCAGTCTGACTAAGCTGGTTTTAGCTGGTCATCTCCCAGCCTGAACAACTAAGACCAGGCTGGAAATGCCTGGAAGTGGCCAAAACCCCTCTAAAACCAGCCTGGTCGACCAGCTAAAACCAGCCAACCAGCCTAGGCTGGTTTAAGCTGTTTTTTTCAGCAGGGATTCATTTTCTTTTTGGCTTAGTTCCTTTATTAATCAGGGGTCGCCACCGGGAATGAACCGCTAACTTATCCAGCAAATGTTTCACACAGCGGATGCCCTTCCAACTGCAACCCAGTACTGGGAAACAACCATTAACACTCGGATGCATTCATACACCTGTACCGCATGACTTTGGGGGTAACCGGAGCACCCGGAGGAAACCCACACCAACACAGGGAGAACATGCAAACCACACGAAAATGCCAACTGACCAAGCCGGCGCTCAAAGCAACGACATTCTTGCTGTGAGGCGACTGTGCTACCCACTGCGCCACCATGTCGCCCTAACTATAATATGTACAGTACAATACACATGTGATTCAAAAAGACTAGGATATTAGGATCTTTTCATGTGTATCGTTATTTGCTTGTTGTGAAAATGGTTGTGTTCCCCTTGAAGACTTCTTTCCGCCAGAGTTCAAAATAAAAATGTAATTGTGAATTTATTACAACATTCTGAGAGAGGATTTTTCCTGCAGTTTCGAGTTTTGCCTCCATCTTCATATAGTTACTCACTGAAATATCCTTCAGCTTAGTCCCTTATTTATACTCGGGTGTACGTTTTTATGTTGCAGATGCCCTTCTGGTTGCAACCCAACATTGGGAAACAACCAAACACTCATATTTTAATAATTGCAAGTTATTTCACATAGATCTTGACATATTTAGGATTCTTTTTTTTTCTTTTAATGTTTGGTGCTTAGTGTCTTAATTTTTAGTTTTAAATGTGGTAAATGGCATACGTAAACTTGAGAAAAACATCAGAACTCTTAGAAAAATCATCCAAAATGAAACTTTTCTAACAAGTTTATTCTTTCGCAGTTCTTTTCACAACGTTTTCAAGATATAAATTTACAATTTTTCGTAAATTTTTGGAATAATAATAGACGATTTTAGAACTATGAAACAATAAACATAATTCTGATTATGTCAGAATTAGGCATGGGATGATTTCAAGGTATACTGCGCTTTGAAAAAGTCAAGGTTTTAAACCGTGAAAAATTCTGCAATACCGTTCTGAAGGTGTGTATGATTTTTTTATTTACGTTTTTTTTAGGACAATATCTCCAGCAGAAAGGATGGTGTTTTAAATTGTAAATAATATGTTTTTGAAACAAATGAAGAGCAAAATTCAGTAATTCATGTAGCCTGACATGTTTACTGCTACAAAATATTTTAAATGTTTCTCAAAATAAAATATACAAAAGGGAAAAAAGGTTTTGTTTTTTACCCAGACATTTAAAAAGAAGATATTTTAGAGGAGTAATCAGAATACCGTGATACCATTATACTTTTATCCAAGGTTATCATACCGTCAGAATCTTATACCGGCCCATACCTAGTCAGAATTGTTGGAGCCTACATTTGCAATGCAAGCAGTAGCAGCGCTAGCTTAACTGGCGCTCTAGGCAAACGACAGTCGTGCCACCCTCACTGTATTCATGTCACCCTTTTGTGGACGAAAGGGAAGAGATGGGTATCCATGCCGTCTCCTAGCAAGATGCCGTTGTTCGTGCTGCCTTTTTGCGGACACGGACAAAAGTGAAGAGCGGGGGTGGGGGTCTTATCCTCATTAATGATGCCGTCCGGGCGATCGCCCACATTGCCCATGCCTAAATCAGCCACTGATTGCAAGAAATATTGTTCTTAAATTGTGTATTATGAGATAAACTTAAAATTGCAATTAATTTTTTTTTTTCAGAATTGCTAAATTTTATCTCAAATTTCTGAATTTGACTCACAATTTTTAGTTACAATCTTAACAATAAAAAAGGCAGAGAATTTCAAGATGTTTTGCTTTCAATTCAGTGTATACCCTGAATTTTTCTCGTTTTTTATTTTAAACTGTGGGGAAAATGTCAGAATTTTCAGAAGTTTCGCAGGTTGCAAAGTTCAAGCTTGGCGAAATCGCATCACTTGACTGCGTGAGACCAACCGAGGATCAAAACATGACTTCTCTGGACAGAAATTTAAAACATGGAGCAATAGCTCGCTTTTTTAATGTCTAATCATCTTGTTTAATCCCGCCCCTTTTCGCAGCACCGTACTACAGAATTTCGCACACACAAACTAGTGTGACCGCAGCTTTACCTGTAGGTTTCAAACAAGCCTGAAGGACTCAATTAGTTTGATCAGGTGTGTTTAATTAGGGTTGGAACTAAACTGTGCAGAGCTGCGGCCCTCCAAGAATTGAGTTTGACAGCCCTGACCTAAAGAGTTGCAATTGGTTGTCATAAAAGACAAATGCCCAAAAACCATTGACACTATCCTTCAAGCTTTTGAATTTGGGGAACCATTTTAGTGTCCAGAAAACCAATTAAGGCCAATTCAGAACTGACGAATGGCCAAAAAGTCTATTGAAAGTCTTCACATTATACCAGTTTGAGTGGTTGAACCTATTTTGGTGGCCAGAAACTGGCCAGATTTCTAAACTGTGGGGAAAATGTCAGAATTCTGACCTGAAAAATTGCAAATCCCTTATTTGTTTTTATCCTACATGTTGCTGGGATCAGCTTCCAAAGATTTCAGACCTACCTTGGATGCAAATCAGCCAATACTTATTAGCATGCTAATTTGAAAGAGTCTCTTGCTATGGGCTTCTTTACACCATCTGTTTTTCGGCGGCTGTTTTTGACGTTGTTGTTTATTAGTCGTATCTGGTCTGAATTTATTGGTTTAATTTAAAGCCGTCATCTTAATTGCTTTTGTGCCAGATAAATAGTGTTGTGACTGCATAAAGAGATTAGATTCTCTGATTATGTCATCCACGATGACACCGCTCCAATCGGTAGCTTCAGTCATTAGCTACAACTTGCAATGCTCAGTTGCATATCTAGTTGTCAGAAATGTTATAACCACCATAATTATGCATGATGTATCTGTTTATTGTTGCATTTAATACTAGTTTAGTTTGATATCTACATATTAATAGCATTTAGTTTGTCCATTGTTTCCACTTATAACCGTAACTTTGGTCCTAAATCTTCATCTATCTGCAATCAGTAAATAATAATTGGTCTCTAACGTGCTTATACTCAAGCCGACGACTGCATTTATAAGCCCTTTGATGCCTAAGCAAACAAATCACTCATCTTTGTTTACATTTATGACTCTGTAAATCTGATTTGTGTGTGATAGCCTGTAGCCTGAAGTGATTAATCTTTATTGCTGATGCTTGTAAATTTGATAATGGGGCCAGCGAGGCAAGACAGTGTTGTCTGTGTATAATTGTGGCCTCTCTCTGTCTTTTATCCCCATTGATGCCTCATTGCATCATCAGTTTTTATTAGCGTGTGCTCGGATTTGTTTATATCTTAAGTGTTCTGTATCATCTCTAGTCCTGGGTGATGTCAGACTAATTGGTTATATGGATTAATGCTGGTAAGTTCAGATGCTGTTTTGATGATTTCTAAATGATCTTGTAATTGTGATTTATTACTTTCTTGATGATAAATTATATAATACAGAATAAAATAAATGTTATATTTGTGGTTAATAGGGCATCAATGTGTGGATGTCTAATGGACGTCAGGGTTTGTCATCAAGGTGCTGTAAAGATAATATGCAGGTATGTGCATCTTTTTCGTATTATTTATTTATTTTTTGATTAGTGCTAAAAAGCCTTTATTCATCTGTCAGTAATTTAGTTGAAAAGAAAAGAAAAAAATTTAATTGGCCACCGAAAATTACATGCACACATATAACTTCCAAGTTCATAAATGCGAGCCTTCTGAAGATTGAATGCAGTGGTTATCTAGTAAAAACGGAGAACAAATCATACCTAAAATTATGCTGTCATTATGTTGCAAATGATTGCATTTTAAACAAATTGAGCTGGATGCAATTTTGGATCACTAGACCTTCATCTGAGGTTTTTTGTTGGTTTTAGCTGGTTTTCAAGCTTAACAACTAACAGGTATACCAGTTTGACCAACTGACCAATTCCTAAATCCTGTATAAATCCTTCAAACCAGACCTGTTTAAGCTGTGGCAGCCATATTAGTTGTCATTAAAGACAAATGCCCATTGCCATTATCCTTCAAGCAGACCAGTTTGACTATTGGGAACCATTTTAGTGGCCAGAAAACCAATTAAGGCCAATTTAGAATCATTTGGCCAAAAAGTCCATTGAAATTCTTCATATTATACCAGTTTTACTGGTTGAACCAATTTTGGTCGCCAGGAAACAAACTGACACCAATTCATAACTGTCAAATGTCCAAAAACTCATTGAAAATCTTTAAACCAAACCAGTGGAAACCCATTTGGTTGGCAGAAAAGACCAGAAAACTAACTGAGGCCAATTACTTAGAACTGAGAAATGGCCAAAAAAGTCCATTGAAATTCTTCATATTATACCAGTTTGACAGTTTGAACCAATTTTGGTTGGCAGAAACCAAACCGACACCAATTCATAACTATCAATTGATCAAAAACCCATTGAAAATCTTCAAAACAGACCACTGGAAACCATTTTGGTGGCTAGAAAAGATCAGAAAACCAACTGAGGCCAATTCAGAACTGAGAAATGGCCAAAATCCTATTGAATTCATGAAATTTGTCCAGTTTGACCAGTGTAATCAACCTTAGTGGTTGGGAAAGTCCAGAAATCCAAATGAAGTCAATTCAAAACTGACAAAAAGGCCAAAACCCCTTTGAAAATATTTAAACCAGACCAGTGGAAACCATTTGGAGGCCGGAAAAGACCAGAAAACTAACTGAGGCCAATTACTCAGAACTGACAAATGGCCAAAAAGTTCATTGAAATTCTTTAATTTATATGGGTTTGACAGCTTGAACCCATTTTGGTGGCCAGAAAAACAAATTGGCACCCATTCATAATTGTCAAATGACCAAAAGACCATTGAAAATCTTTAAACCAGACCAGTGGAAAACATTTTGGTGGCCAGAAAAGATCAGAAAACCAACTGAGGCCAATTCAGATCTGACAAATGGCCAAAAATCCATTGAAATTCATAAAATCAGTCCAGTTTAACCCGTGCAATCCACTTCAGTGGTTTGGGAATTCCAGAAAACCAAATAAGGCCAATTCATAACTGACAGATGACCAAAAGCCCATTGAAAATAATTAAACCAGACCAGTGGAAACCATTTGGAGGCCGGAAAAGACAAGAAAACCAACTAAGGTCAATTATTTAAAGCTGACAAATGGCCAAAATCCCATTGAAATGCTTTAAATTAGACCAGTTTGACTAGTAGAAATCATTTTGGCTGCCAGAAAAGACCAGAAAACCAACTGAGAACAATTCAGAACTGAGAAATGGCCAAAAACCCATTAAAATTCATCAAAGCCAGACCAATTACCTTTGTAAACCAAACTGGTGGTCAGAAAAAACCTGAAAACCACTAAACAACAATACAGAAGTAATCTACTTTGGGGTCACCATATATATGTGGGATCAAGTGTTTGTTTACTGTTGATTTACTATGTTTTGGAGTCTAATTTCTGTATAAAACATGCTGGGTTTTTTTTGATTGTCTAAAATGTGCAGTTCTATAGAATGTGTTTTTTCCAGTAATGTGATTTTGGTCAGTTCACTGATATTTAAATAAATGACGAGTCCACTAAATGAGACAGAGCACAGTCGCTGCAATCTGCTTGACTTCCTGTTTGAGCTGCATGTTTACATTAGCCTGTTAGCGTGAGAAAGGACAGGTCCACTGTTTCTGAATGCAGCTGACGTGCTCCAGAGGACACATTGTTCACCCCTCGATCGGAGATTCACAAGAGAAACTGCGATGTCATGCATTAAAAAAACTGGGGTTCGCCATGCTCTGTTTAGTATTACAAGGGCTTTGTTACAAAACCTAGTGAGCCGTGTTGATGTCTACTACTGCCTACGTTTACAGAAAGACAGCATGCTAACTGAAATAAATACAACGTCTGATTTGAAACACTGCGAGGAAAATACAAAGAGTCCAATTTAACAAACATAATTGTGTAAATGTTTGAATTTGTGTAAAATATGTAACTTATTAAAAGTGCAGGATGAATTTTAAACAATTAAAACTCAAATCTGTAATGCACAGTATGAGTGAGAATTAATGTGGATGATAAACTCTGTTTTTATTGTGCCAATATGTTTTATTGCTAGCATAATAGACATATTGGGTCAAACTTTTTTTTTGTACACTAGTAAAGGCAGATTTACCATTTATCATGCTGATATGTTATATTGCTAGCAGAAACGCCAAACATTGGGTCAAATACTGTTTTTGTAGATTATTAGAGGTAGATTTAGTATTTGTTACATTGCTAGCAGAAAGCACCAAATATTGGGTCAAATAATGTTTTTTTGTAGTTTATTAGAGGTAGATTTAGCATTTATCATGCTAATATGTTATATTGCTAGCAGAAACACCAAACATTGGGTCAAATACTGTTTTTGTAGATTATTACCCTGCTGAAAAAACAGCTTTGGTTGGCTGGTTTTAGCTGGTCATCTCCTAGCCTGACCAGCACAGACCAGGCTGGAAATGGCTAGAAACCAGCCTGGAAATGGCCAAAACCCCTCTAAAACCAGCCAACCAGCCTAGGCTGGTTTAAGATGTTTTTTTCAGCAGGGTAGAGGTAGATTTAAAACTTAGCATGCTTAATATGTTATATTTCTAGATTAAAAGCCACAAATATTGGGTCAAATACTGTTTTTGTAGATTATTAGAGACAGATTTAGCATTTATCATGCTAATATGTTATATTGCTAGCAGAAAGCACCAAATGTTTAGTCAAATAATGTTTTTTGTAGATTATTACAGGTAGATTTATCATTTATCATGCTAATATGTTATATTGCTAGCAAAAAGCACCAAATATTGGGTCACAATGTTTTTTTGTAGATTATTAGAGACAGATTTAGCATTTATCGTGCTAATATGTTATATAGCAGAAAGCACCAAATATTGGGTCAAATAATGTTTTTTTTGTAGATTTTTAGAGGTAAATATAGCATTTATCATGCTAATATGTGATATTGCTAGCTGAAAGCACCAAATATTGGGTCATATAATGTTTTTTGTAGCTTGTTAGAGGGTTATTTAGCATTTATCGTGCTAATATGTTATATTGCTAGCGGAAAGCACCAAATATTGGGTCATATAATGTTTTTTGTAGCTTGTTAGAGGGTTATTTAGCATTTATCGTGCTAATATGTTATATTGCTAGCGGAAAGCACCAAATATTGGGTCATATAATGTTTTTTGTAGCTTGTTAGAGGGTTATTTAGCATTTATCGTGCTAATGTTATATTGCTAGCGGAAAGCACCAAATATTGGGTCAAATAATGTTTTTGTAGATTATTAGAGGTAGATTTAGCATTTATCATGCTAACATGTATATACATGATATATAAAAGACACAAATATTAGGCCAAATACTTTTATATAGATTTTTGTAGATTGTTAAGGAGCAGATTTAATATGCTAATATGTGCTATTACTGGATAGCATTAGCTAGTTCCACAGATTCAACTGGTTATTTGGAAAAATACTTTACATAACATCAGCAAATATGTTGTTTATTTATATGCACTTTGTCTGCTTTCTCCACCATCTCAGACAGTTTTTCAGCTCTAAGCATTTTGATAGAAAGACTATAAACAAATACTACAATAATGCATAGTAATAGTGTTTTAAATCATACAAAAGAGCGTTGTGCTGTGTGCAAACTGAAGTGCCGGGAGCGAGTATGGAAATGGTTGCGCGTTGGGTTTGGTGCGCATGTGGACTGTACCAAAAAGCTGAGTAGTGGGGTAGGGGAGGAAATTCCGGGAGACAGAACAATACGGGAGATGGGTCTGAAATATGGGAGACTCCCAGGAATTGGCAGGTATGGTCTGCGGTCATACTAAGCACAGCAAAGATGGTTGACGCTCCGCCACAAGATGGCGACAGAGACCACATAAGTCCTTAAAGGAGAAAAACTCTCTTCGCATGTCTAACTACAGCTGATCAAATCATGATAAATCTGGTAAGTGACACTCTAAGTTGATCTCTTTCTTCTGTATGCTGTAGTGCTGTATTTATACCATGGTCATCTGCTAGTGTTTGCTTTGCTTTGGCTTTTTCTGGGTTAATTATTGTGACCGATTACAGCAGAAAAAATACTGGGAAATCTCTGTAGACTGATGGCACTTCATGCTGTTCAGCCTTATAATGTGAGCAAAATCACCTGTTCTATCATCACTTTAGATATTACGCTAGAGAATCATTCAAATACTAAACTCTAAAGTGACGTGTTTTTAAGCTGTGGTTTCTGCTGTTCTGACATCAGCTGTCATAAGTAGTTCCTTATACAAAAAAGGTATTTGAGACTCTGTTTTTAATTTTCTATTTTATATACCCTGCTGAAAAATCCAGCTTAAACCAGCCTAGGCTGGTTGGCTGGTTTTAGCTGGTTAACCAGGCTGGTTTTAGAGGGGTTTTGGCCATTTCCAGGCTGGTTTCCAGCCATATCCAGCCTGGTCTTAGCTGGTCAGGCTGCAAAATTACCAGCTAAATCCAGCTAAAACCAGCTTGACCAGCCTGGTTTAAACTGGACATAGCTGGTTTTGGCTGGGCTCTCAGCCTGGCTAAGCTGGTCAAGCTAGTTTTAGCTGGTCATCTCCCAGCCTGACCAGCTAAGACCAGGCTGGATATGGCTGGAAACCAACCTGGAAATGGCCAAAACCCCTCTAAAACCAGCCTGGTCGACCAGCTAAAACCAGCCAACCAGCTGGTTTTCAGCAGGGTACACAATTATGCTGTCGAACTGTTGAATAACTGCAATAATACACTCGCAGCAGTGCTTTTTGGCTGTATATCATCACTGGTGGCACACTTAGGCACTCTGTATAGCCTTAAGGCAACACACGCCTCCTTCCAGTGCCGATATACAGCCACATCACACTGCTACTCATGTGAAATTGCTCATATATCATACTACAGTGCACCACAGTTTAATGTTTTAAAAACTAAAGCATACTACAGTAATTATTAAAGTTCTCAGTAATACTACAGTATGAGCAAAGAGTTGTAAGTGCTATAATACTGTATACCATACAACAAACTTTACTCGTAGCTACAGTTGAAGTAGATACTATAAAATACTACAAACAGTAAATACAAATAATGTAATAGAGCCAAAAACTAGAAACTTTTGCCGAATTTAACCACTCTGACTGACGCCACCTCAGATTATTTTATGATTGGGCAGATTTGTAGCTTCACAGGACAGTGACACACAGTGTAAATATTTGCAGTTGTTTGTGCTGGCCATATTAAGTTTTCACATGTTTATTTTTTCTCCCAGGGACCCTAAACAACACACAGTGCGCTGCGGGATCATCCAATGGTTATGATCACGTGTCGCAGGGTCTGAAGCGTTTGAGACGTGGACTCATCAATCACAGGCCCACGTGCAGTCCCAAACCCGCCGCGAGCTTCAGAAGATGTGCTGCTATGTTTGTTTTTCCACTTCAAGAGAGCATTTCAGGCTGAACTGGAGGAACTTCCATGTAAACAATGGACATGTGAACATCGGATGCACAGAAAGAAGGTCTCACACTTTCTATATTTATATAAGTATCCTTTTCTGTAAATGTAGTGGATAAATACATTAAATATATATATATATATATATATATATATATATATATATATATATATATATATATATATATATATATATATATATAAAATAATTAAGCAAAACAAAAATTCTATAACTTTTTTTGCAATATTTCATTATTTTCATTTATATTTTTAAATGTTTTATCTCTATTTCTCTATAGTCAGTGCATATATATATATATATATATATATATATATATATATATATATGTATATACATGCATAGTGATCTGCATCAGTATTCAGAGGGGTTTTCAGATGCGCCTCTATAATTCTCCTTTTGAAGTGGCATTAGCATTTAGCAAGTAGCTCTGACAGACTAACGGATCTCTTTGCCGCTCTGGTAGAGATGATCGATGTTTGCGATGCCGAATGAATGAGCTGAGATGCTGTTCTTGGCCCGCTCTAGTGTTTGGGACTCTAGTTTATTTTTAGACATAATATATTTAAAGTCTATTGCAAAATATGCACTTATACACAAATATTTAGAGAGTAGCAACACTTTATTACGTCATTAGCTTTACTTCACGTGAGTGGGCGGAGCTAAATACATGTTTTAGCACACTTTGCTCACTGCTGCTCTCTGATTGGTCGAATGTTCTCCACAGCATCATGGGTAATGTAGTTTTCTGCACAAATTCTGCTATTAAACGTCACAGTTTTAGATTTGCATTAATGTGAACAGATGGTTTCAGCGAAAGCATATACAATCGTTTTCAGTTATTGTTAGGAATCTGATTCCTTATATGGAGAAAAGGAATGGAGTTTTTGTGTCTGATGGTCATTACAGAGCATGAGGTCAACAGAGGTCGACATCTCTTCAGCAACCCAGGAAATTAAAGATTGTGATCAGGAAGCAGGAAGGAGAAGGGTGGAAAATGAGAGTTAAATGATGGATGTGAATTGTAGGAGATAAAGAAGCTGAGGCATCATATGTTTTTTGCTGGGTTATCGTAACTTAGCACTGGGTCAAATATGAACAACCCCAATATTTAGTTTATTTTCCAATTCAATTGACACTTTTAATGCAATGTTTGAACTTGACCCAACATTAGGATAAAGCAACCCAGCAATTTTTAGAGTGAATAATCTGAAGTACATAATAGATTACTTTTACAAATTTGTGTATGTTATTTTACTGTAATTAAACAAGTGAAAAAATAGTTGTGAATTGCAATATTATATATATAAAATTTAATATATATATTACTATTAAAGAGTTTTATTTCAATATGCATTAACATTTTTGATTATTATTACTATTGTTTAAATTCAGACTGGCTCCAGCTGATAGAAAGGCAACAGTAACTCAAATAAGCACTCGTTACAACCGAGGTCTGCAGAAGAGCATCTCTGAACACACAACACGTCCAACCTTGAGGCAGATGGGCTACAGCAGCAGAAGACCACACCGGGTGCCGCTCCTGTCAGCTAAAACAGGAAACTGAGGCTACAATTCACACAGACTCACCAAAACTGGACACTAGAAGATTGCAGAAACGTTGCCTGCTCTGATGAGTCTCCATTTCTGCTGCCACATTCCGATGGTCGGGTCAGAAATTGGCATCAACAGCATGAAAGCATGGATCCGTCCTCTATCCATCCATCCATCCATCCATCCATCCTGAGCTAATAACACATACATTTATTAAGTTACAGAAGCCATCATGCAATAAATTACATGTACTGATATTTGAGTTTGAACCAATTTAATTCCCGCCATGCTTCAGGAAATCTTATGTTCACCTTGAGTCAGGCTTGTGTAAATGTGTGATTGCTCCAGGACTTGAGTTCAGTCTGTTTGTCTGTCAGCGGCACCTGTACCTGCACCACCTGAATCCAGATCAGTCTCCAAGCTCTTAGTATTCAGTACAGACGGATCTGCTCCTGAAACAGCAAAGACACGCGGGACCTGCAGCTCTGAAGAACTCCACACAAGCACAACAACACGCTGAAGAGAATATACTGGGTAGATCTGCACTGATAACAATGGTTCATTAGATTTACTACGTTTTGTTTTAAGGTAAGTGGTTGCAAACTATTTATATGGGCTCAATTTAAACAAACAACTTAAGTTAAAGATTAAACAGCAAAAATCAGTTCAAGGAACTTGAAACGTGGAAAACATATTAAAAAGAAAATATTACCACATTTAATATGTTTAAATTAAGCCCCCCCCCCCAAATGTATATTATTTTCTCTTTCTATGCTACCTCTTAACTGACCTGTTTTCCCCTAAAATGTGTGGTCGGAGGAGTCCAATTTGGCTCCATGCAACAGTGTTGTGACAAAGGCTCATCATCATCATCATCATAAATTGTTTGCAACTAGTAACCATAAAATTTTAGTAAATCCAATGAATAATTTTTTTCAGTGAGCATATGGAGAAAGCTAAATTTTTTTAATTAGGCAGGAATATATGTTATAAATATTTTTTTGTTAAAATATTTATATTGTTACATTTTATTTAGGTTAAATCTTGCCCTTTTAATTTAATTTCACTGCAACGTAATACACAATTTTTTTAAATGTTTTTTTAAATGCAATATGATGCAGAAATAAGAATTTTTGATTAATTTATTGATTTTTTTTCTTCACTATACTTCGCTATATTGCATTAATGCAATTTTTTATACGTTATCATTAAAATATTAATGGATAACAAGAATTGATTTATTGTAATTGTCTATGTTATGTTCTTTGGGGACTACTTTTTCAATGTATTTCATTTTACCATCAATTAAATGTGAAATAATGTGGTAATGTAAGTTTTTTTTCAGTGACCGAAAATAAATTTGTCGGTAAAAATGGTTTACTTAACCTTTGATTTATTTTATTATCAATACAATGTCCAAAGTTGCTCCAGTTTTATATTATTTTACTGGGTGGTGCAGTTAGCTCTGTTGCCTTACAGAAAGAAGGTCGCTGGTTTGAGCCTCGGCTGGGTCAGTTGGCATTTCTGTGTGGTGTTTGTATGTTCTCCGAGTGCTCTGGTTTCCCCACAAGTCCAAAGACATGCACTATAAGTGAATAGGGTAAGCTAAATTGTCGTTTATGTGTATGAATGAGAGTGTATGGGTGTTTCCCAGTGATAGGTTGCGGCTGGAAGGGCATCCGCTGCGTAAAACGTATGCTGGATAAAGCTGCGGTCACACTGCACTTTTCTCCCCATAGACTTTCATTCATACGCACGCGAATGTGTCAGCCTGATCTGACGAGGAAACGTAAGTATTTTACGTTTTGTCAGTTTAGTGGCTAATTCGTACGAATTCGTACGAGTTCAGTCATACGAAAATGTACAAATTTAAAAAGGAGGCATGGCACCTAACCCCAACCATCATTGGGTGATGAGCAAATCGTACTAAATTGTATGAATCAGATCGTACGATTTTATACGAATTACCCACTAAATCGAAAAGTTACGAATTGAGATGAGATTGCATTGAATGTGTCAGACCAGAAAAGTAAGGTCATGCGGCAAGTTTCGCAGTTCGCTGCATTGGAAAGTTTAAGCTTGGTGAACTCTCACCTGCGAAATCACGTCATATGATTGCGTGAGACCAAACGAGAATCAAAACATGACCTCTCTGGACAGAAATTTTAAACATGGACGAATCGCTCGCTTTTTTAAATGTCTAATCATCTTGTTTTATCCCGACCCTTTTTGCAGTGACATACGACAGAATTTCGCAAGCTTAAACTCTAGTGTGATTGCAGCATAAGTTGGTGGTTCATTTTGCTGTGGTGACCCCTGATTAATAAAAGAACTAAGCCGAAAAGAAAATGAATGAACAAATGTCCAAAGTTCATTAACAAATCTTTTGTTTACATTTTTTATGTGTTTAATAAAATCATAAGCAGGATAGTTCTTGTTGAGATTCACCCCCATAAAGTCTTTTCCGCTAACCCAGGCTTTATCTATAAAAGATGCTTCAAGTAAGCCAGAACAAGCAGACAAGACAAAAAAAATCTATAAAAGATTTGATGCAACGTCTGCGAGTCCAACAACCAGTTTCCTCTTCAGAAACACTCAATAGTTACAGACTGGGAACTTGTAAACATGCCTTTGGTTTCCTGACAGACTGATAAAAACCTGTGCTGTTACATTTCTCAGAATCTGCCATGTTTTAAAGCCATTGTGTGTAGCATGCATGCGTCAATATGTGATGCATCAACATATATTTATATTGTAGTGATGTTTAAAGGTCACCTGCTCAAATGCCTTTATCTGTTGTAATTTAGTTTATCCTTCATTTTCTCTCATTATTTTTTTTTTTTTGCTTTCATATTTTTAACATCAAAATATTGTACTAAAAATGTGCTCAAAACAGTCGCCATTTAGATATATCCACAAAAAGACCATCATTGTTTTGTTTTTTGTTATCCAGTACTCATTCATGCCTGTCAACTGTGACTAGTTATAAAATTTTTGTAAACATCACCATTTTCCAAAAAGAAAGCGTTCATTTACACTGAGAAAATAATGGAATTGTCAAAAACGTGTACTATGTTTCCATTCACTTATTTTAATTTGTGTTTTTTATAGGTGGGCATAGAATTTTTTTTTAATCTAGATTAATATGCCTCAATTGAATTCAGCCGAAGGCATTCAGAATATGTGTGCTACCCGAATAGTGAGTCTTTGACAACGGGTTTCTCAAGCGAGGTGGCGCATTAGATCAGGGGCTCATCTCCTGTTTCTAAAATGCACCACAAACTGCTTGAGAAACTGTTCTACTTTGATAATTGGTAATGAAAATAAATGATGTTCAATAAGATGTGCTTGTGTTTACTAACTGTTTACTCAGTTAAACATGAATTTTGAACTGTAGGCCTACATAAGCTAGATATGGTAATAATATAAAACTGGATATGGTAATACTTTACATTTTCTTTTTACCTTTTACACATTTTAATTTAAATGTTGACTTTTTTTAGTTAGTTTTTTTTTTTTTTTTACATATAAGCACATTACAGTGTTAATGTTCAGACTATTTATGTTTAACATGGCTGACAATTATAAATATTATTAATAACAGGAATTAATCTGCCACGTTTTTGAACTGTGCAGAACTGTAGTTGCTTTACTGGACTTATATGCTGTATTTCAATAATGCTCATTATGGTGGCACTTGGAGATAATTGTTTTTCTGAGGTGGTACATGATGAAAAAAGTTTGAGGACCACTGTTCTATAGTATTTGACTCAACCCGTTTCAAGATGGCGGCCGACGTCGTTCCTGTCGACTGGAATCTACATGGTTAAAAGAGCGCGAAGTGAAGTAAGTGATTCAATTCACTCAACACAAACTTTAGGATACTGTTTACTTTATATTCATGCCGTCATTATTGCAGACTAAGAACAAAGACGACACTTTATAAGCACCTTTAAAGCACCAGGTTCAGCAAAACACTTAAAGGCATTCAAGCACGAAGGCAGTAATGAACTTAATAACCGTGAAATGAAGTTTGCTGAGGAGAGAAGAGTCGGTGAGTAAATCCTTGTCACATTCTGCACTTTTTTTGTTGAAGAAAATGACATGAGACAGTGTGTTTGTAGCAGAGACAGCGCAAAACGTTTAATTATCTTCATTTTCGTGATTGCTCTTTAGTCTATTCAGAGCTTGAACAAAACTAATCGACTGCGGGGTTTGGCTTCAGTCATGACGGTATTATGATGGATTGCGCTTCTGTTTTGTTAGACTCGATGATATAATCGGCTAATTTCCCCTATTTTTGCTTTTGTTTATGAGCTGATAGCGCGCACATTTAGAGTTATTTCAGTCCTAAAATAAGCCTGAAGTACCTGCTGTTTCTCATCCACATGCACGCGCGGTTTAATAACTCATTCAAAACATTTATTTTAGGTAGATGACAGACATCTGTGTAAGCTGTTAGACTGTTGGCTGCTTTTACACTGCAAGGCTGTAGTTATGTAGAATTGAGGTAAAGTTGATTTCGTATTCGTTCAGTGACCATGTCCTTATATTTACCTCGCTGGTCTGAAATCTAGGCTATAATAGGCTATATTAGCACTATTTCATTGACTGTGAGCAATGTAGAATGTAGATAGTCATCATATGATTTAATCTAATATGATTTCTCTATTTAGAATTTGCAAAGAATACTTTTCTGAAATTATATTAATGAGGAAGTACAAATGTGCGAACCTAAAACCAAAGTTACCTCAGTGTAGAAATGTATTTGCAGTTTTTTAAATCCTTTTAAAGAAATTGATCTGCCCAAATTAGTTTATTTAATTGCATTTATTTATTTTTGCTTTGTTATTTTGCAGTCTACTAGGTTCGTT